CAGTACTCTGAAATCAAGAAAAATACAATAAAAATAAGACTCAAAAATCATTTTAACAGGAACAAATGATAATTGTTTTTCATTTTTTTCAAGACCGAGTATATACAATCACAAAATCATTTTAATTTTATCTGACACTTATTACAGTAAAGAGAATGCTCAGAGATTAAATGAAATTGTATATTATAAATGCATAATATATCATTTATTTCACCATGGACTATGAAGTAACCTATTATTTCCATATTTAGTAAAAGAACACAGAGCAAAACCTATACCTGCAAAAGGGGTCTAGAAACTCCAAGTTGTTGCATGAACTCTGGGGCAGTAGTGGCTCGCCAAGCATCAGTAGCTTTGGTAGCAGTTTCAATAGCTCTTTGCACCATGAGATGATGTCTCCCTAAAAACACCTCCTTAACATAATCAGCTAGAAAGGCATTTAGAGTGCAAGGACTCCCTGGAGTACAGCCAAGAGCATGTTCAATCTCTTCAATGAAACGCATCAAAGGAATGAAGATGAAAGTGATGTTCCGTGGATCTGGGGCACATACTAATTGTTTGTCACGAACTGGTGGTCTACCAGTACCTTGATATTCCTAAAAATATTCAAATAAAGGTAACAATTTTTCAAATGAAGGCATCATAATAGTAATACATTTTAGTACACAAAGAATTACAATATAACATGTACCTTGGCTGCAGAACCATCTCTGATTTGATCTTTTAAATAGCTGTTAATATTATGAGCATGGGAGGAATAATCAAATTTGAAAAGCGGTGTTCTCTTCTGACGTGTTGGTTTCCGGCGGGCAAAATACATTGACATGTCACTTGTTGGTTCCGTGAATGCTGTGGGTGCTTGTGGAGTGTCACCAGCAGTATTTTGAATATCAAGATAATCAGTAAGAAGAAGCTGCAGCTAAACAACATAAAATAAAATGTAAAATATACAAATTAAGTGTCAATATTATTGCTGAACAAAAGATTTATTTACAGACAGGGAGATCAATGTCAGATCAAGTGATTAGTACCATTTATAGAAGGACTGAGAACAATATTTTACAGAAAACTTCCGTTATAAAACTTTTTCAACTCAACAACAAGAATATTTCTACCAATTAAAATATGTTATTCTTCTATAAAACATCTACTTCATAAATAATCATCAAACATGTAAGAAAAAAAATCATCCCCTACCTTTACAACACTCCCCTATATGATCGTAAATGAATCGACAATTAATGCATTTGGTTTACAGCGCATCAACTAACAAATATTTTGCAGCCAGTTGGGGAATTTTTCACAATCAAGAATTGGGTATGAGTAATTACCACTGGGCCTGGTATTTTGGGGACGCAAACATCAAGCGCATTTCATATAGACGCAAACATCCTGCATGATACTTGTCTGCTGCACGAGAGAGTCTTTGCCACGCCAGCAGAATGGGCTGTGGCCAACACGTCTGAATTGCTCAAAAATGGGTTTCGAAAGCCTCAGAAGTTGGCTGCATGACGGTGTGCAGGCAGCGGGAATCACCCTGTCCAGGCTGTGCGAGAGTGATGCTCATAGGACCATCACGAATTTGTTTTGTAGTACGAGAGATTATTGCCAAAAGCTCTGTTTGCATTTCCACCTTCAATGTCTGCAAAGAAAAGAAGAGAGAATATGCTTGCATTTTCATGAAGATTGTTGATCCATTTATCTGCATATTTAGAAATAAATTAAAAGAACCTGGTATCTATAAATGATCTAAGGTGTTTATAAAACATTTGAATCAGTGCAAACAAAAAAGTCCGATGTCACATTTTTTGGGGTTTTGTTGGGGAAACTGTTCTTAAGACATAAGTACAACTTTCCATGCACAAAAGTTTGTTGTTCATAACCTATGTAAGTTTGTAGTGTTCTTCAACAGTTAATGTTACGAAAAAAATGTTCTCAGTCCAAAACTTAAAACCTCTTTTGTTGCCCTTCAAATTTGAAGCTCATGGACATCAAACATTTTTGTTTTCTCCGATTCATTTATTTGACAAACAATGAGAAAATAAGATTTTCAGATTTTCCTTTTCGGAACTGGAAACAGTATTTGTAAACATAAAACATTAACACAACATGTTAATAATAATGTCTAATTCCAAAAGCACACAACAGCAGCCAAAAGTGTATTTGTATGGTGAATCGCAGAGACATCTTTTTTGTCAATTTCCCACTGATCACACTGATCTCCAGATACATTCATAATTCTTTATCACTGTTCTAAGAAATTTTAAATACAAATCTCATTGCCACACTAATAAGAATGAATCATAGGAATATGAACACAAGAATGAAAACTTACAAATCTATGGTACTTTTTTAAGCAAACATGAATTTCCATTTTCAGACATTACTAGATTCTATAAACTGTAAAAACTGGCTAAAAAAATGTAAGCCTTTTATGAGAAATATATCCAATAAAAAATACTAGTGGGACTACAGAACAGCACAAACTTTGTTGAACCTGTTAGTTTCTTATCCTCTTCTGAAAGATTACCAGGGTCTCCCACGGTACCTACCGCTTCTTTTGAAGGTGGTTAAGAGCACTTTTGCATACCCTGAACATCTGATGGGCCAATCTCCAATTTGTAGCTTCACATGTTCTTATGTTATTCCTTGGCACCACTTTGGTGTTTGTACCATTGTTTTGGTTCTGGTTTGGAGTGCCCCCAAGCCTTCAAACTCAAGTGAAAACATTCATGTCTTATATGAGTTTCAAACTCTCAGCCTCAATATCCTTTACACTCATCTGCCCCAAGTCTGTCCCACAAGGCTAAATTGCATCTGGCTAATTGTAAATGTGGTACAGTTTTGTTATAATAATTTGATGATACCAATCATATAACTAAAAGTGACTTTTGTATTTAAACACTGCCTTTAATTGATTTTGAAATATTGAATATATGTATCTGAAGTGTCCTGAAATTAGTTGTCAAAGTTATGGTGAAAATAAAGTTATTTTAGCATTCAAATAAAGCAACAATACACTCAGTAACTAACAATTTTCTCAAAATTAGTTAACTCTCTAGAAAGTTTTGGAGAACATAATATTCACATTACTAACATAACATATTAACATTTAATATTTACAACATATGTTTATTAATATAATGGTTTAGTTTACTTTCATGAAATATTTATATTGATGCTATTGTGTTTTATCAAAAACATGTACATTTTTCATATATTCTCAATTTTTCAAACTCCTAATAGTAGAATGGAAATTTGGCATGAAGAATATTGTAGAACAGGTTCCAAGTACTAATTTTCATACCAAATTTTGAAGCCAATTTCGAGAAAATATTTTCTGAAAATGCACAATTTTGAGTGAATTTGAGAAAAAGAGAGGAGCTCTCAAGAAACTTTGTAAAAAGTCATTTAAGTACTTGTATTCACAAATGCAATAAAGCATTTACAATAGAGAGAATGTAAATATTAATAACGTGAGTGATGCATAAAAAAAGGTGCACTTGTGTAATTTTTAAAAAACTCAAAAAAGCATCTAACTCACTTTTATATCATGGTAATCAGTGCATTTAATACAACCTGTACCTGAAATTTAAAGAAAAAATCTTGAAGCCTTTTTTGACAAAATCTTGTTTTATTATTAACCAGATTTCACTCAAAATTGTACTATATTTTTCTTTTTTACAAATCACACAACATTAATTAAAGAACTAAATAGGTGAACAAATTTAATTGTAAGAAAACATCTATATCTTAATTTGTGTAATTGTAGAGAGATGCAGGATAGACATTAGCAAGTCTTCAACTAACAAAGATACATTCTGCATTGCTGTACAGGTTTTTAAGCATAAGAAAGGAAAGCATAACAAACCTCATGCAATCAAGTATGGAAATTTTGTTAAGATAAAAGAAAACACAGGATCTTTTCCAATGAAAATTGCACACTTTTCATTAGATTCTGTGAAGTTTATGCTAAGTGAATTTAACAATAAAACTCAGCCTGTTCACAAACAATATCTTGGAAAAGGTTATAATATATGAGTTCTACCCGAAATTTTAACTTGAAATGTGATTGACCCCAAGTAATATTACTTATGCGCACTCTTACAACAATAAAATGTGACATTTTTGTGGTTCATTGTTATAAGGGAAGAAATTTGGCTTGTAAATCTTTGTTGAAACGGAAAATGGTACAAGTTCATAGTTTTTGCTATAAAAATGAACACATTATTAACAAAGTTTTTATCACAATTATTCCTCAGAATATTTGTAGGTGTTAGCACAACATTTCTGAAATGAGAACATTGTTTCAATTTTAACAGTGGTTTGTGGGAGAGGGGGGGGGTCTCCATGATCTACTAGTTTATTAATGTAATGAATAGCAGTTATTTTTTAATTGTTAATGAAACTTGTGTAGTTTGTAATAATGTGAATTATGTTGAGGTTTATTGTAAGCACTTGCATGTTTTATTAGTCATGTAATTAATGAAGTAAGCTATGTGAATTATTACAAGTTAACATAATTTAATTTAATTCTTGTTATAATTTTAAATAATGATGTTGTATTGTAAAAATTTACATACATTTTTAACATTTAATTTACCAAATTACTGTTAACTTATTAAATTATTAATGTATGTTAATATAGTTTTTAAAAAATGTAATTTTTATTGTAATTTAAATTAACTGATGGACTTTGCTTGCTACTTTTTGTAACTCTCAGTAATAAAATATCATTAATTATTATATTATTATTATTATTATTATTATTATTATTGTTGTTGTTGTTGTTGTTGTTGTTATACATCATTAACAAATAGTACATGCACTGAAAGTGTAATTTGGAAATCTTGCAGACCACAAATATGGAAAGGAAATCAAAAATTTCATATGTAAATAACTACTCCTGACCTCATGGAAAAGAAAAAATAATATTTTAACTATTTAATAAATATCCTAACATCACCAAGCTCATTTCTCAATTGTTTACACAATCTTACCTCTACAGCATCTGGTAACTTATTTAACAATGCTAAACATTCCACAAGAATTGCCATAAAGTGCTCTGAGTCGGCTTCTGGGTCTACTGCATCAATGTCTTCACTCACATCACCTTCAGTAGGCTGTCCCAATGCAGCACTCAGACCAGTTCTATACAAATTTGTTTGTGAAAAATTTCTCAAAATTAATGATCTTCATACAACAGATTATGATTACTAAATACCATGTAACTTAACAAAAATAGTCAGGTAATGAAGCTAAATTAAAACACTGCTGTGAACCTGATAAGACTTTTCATTAATATAATGACAGAAATGATCCAAGGAGAATTGGAAGCAATACCTAGTCAGTAAGTCTAAAGCAAAAACACATCCACGTAAATACAGTTGTTAAGTAAGTCTACTGACCATATGTGTAATCAAATAACATGTAATTGTTTTTCATAATAATATCTACTGACAAAAAAGTCAAACTACATAGTTTAATGGTTGTTTACAGTTTAGATCACAATTTAAAATACCTTGTTTGTTTGTTTTGCTATAATTAGTATAAAATATGTTCTGGTTACCTCACAATTTCACATGAACTTTGAAACAACTTTCTTTCACTTGCAGTCATAAAATTAATAATTTAAAAAAGTTTTATTCCTTCAAATACACAACAAATGAAATTCACTTACCTCGTGGACTGGCAGTTTGGAAGAGGTGAGCTCACATCAAGAAGGGCTCTACGAGCTTTAGGGTTACGTGCAGAGTTACGAAGCTCGCCTGCACGCTGAAAAGGTGAATTAAGCAAATTTTCTCTCCCAGACCCTTGTCTGCACAAGCTGAGGACCTCTTGAGTAGAATGAGTGTAGATGTGATGACTGAGCTCCTCCATTAGTTTCATATGTAATTGCTGGACATGGAAGCACAAATATTAATACGTTAACTTCATCTAAAGCGGTTCCCAGCAGTATAAAGACTTTCCACATAGAGAAAATTCTTGAAAAACCATATCAAATATCTGAGTTTGCATGTTCAAACCTAGCTGGGAGCAGTGGATTTTTAAAGAATTTTAGAAAATTCTCTGTGAGTCACTCATAACATGCTTGTGGCATTAAAAAAAACTGGCAGGTGCCTGGCACAATTACATTCCTTCACGTAAAGATCCCACAAGTAATGGATAAACACAAGTGGAGCAACACAAATAGTGGATAAACATCACTGAGCCCACTGTTCTATCATTCCCAGGCCACAAATACTGGAGTCAAAATTAAATAGACCTAACATTGAGAAACTTTGCAATACAAATTAAGAGTCCTTTTTGGAGTTGAGTCAATGGATGAGCCTGGACAAAACTACAACAGCTACATGAAATCTGAATTGGCCTAGATTGACAAAGAACCAAGCATTCTGGTTGAAATATATTACACCAGATACTGCAAGAAAATTAGCCTCTTCATTTTTAAGAGCTGATTCAGATCTTGCAAAGCTAGTCTTAGAACTGTTTCACCCAACAAGAAAGTTTGACACTGTTTCATCATGACCTGTATATACAAGATCTTCGGGGGGGTTCAATGCAACAAGAGGTTGTGGGTAATTCATGTGTATGTTGCTCAAAACTCAACAAAAACACTTCTGACTTTAATAAAAAGAGTGCAAAGCTAAACAGTTCCACAACAGCAAGTGTAATATAAATCCAGGTATATAGTATTTATATTAAAAAAGTGTGAAAGACATAGAATTTCTCACTCTGTTTTGACTGTATGTACTATAGCTGTATGTACTATATGTATGTACTACATGTACTAAGGCATGAGCAGATGACAGTAAATGTTTACACAGTAATTTTTCAATTCTCATTAAATTGAATTTTAACAAAAAATATGTCTAGCTCACAAAAATGTTTTATCAAATTCAATTTAACATTTTCTTCTGTTCAGTTACTGTTTTCTTTAAAAAAAAATTTCTTCACTTGACATATATTGTTATATTAAATAAATCTGGACTTAACAAATCAGGTAACTACATGGAATCAAACATTTTAATTTCATGAATTGTCTGTTTTGAAAATTAAAAAGTTTACAGCGTGGGGTCTCAAAATTAATTTTAATTACACAAAATTTTCAAATGAAGAAAAACTTTTGTTTTTTAAAATTTTAATTATTAGTAATCACATTATCACTCTGCATTATAAAATCAATAGGATATTAATGCAAGATATTGCCTAGTTATTGCAAAGATATCTTCACATCTCATATCGAGTAGTAGTAGTACTAGAAGTAGTTTGAAAAAAGAGATAAATTATTTCTAGCTTTCCTATGTAATGTAAAGAGGATAGAAATGTGATCTCACAAACACACATCCAAGGCACACACATCATTTATGTATAAACAAAAAGGGAGAAAATAGTTTAAAAGTTTTAAACTGGCTAGATCATTACAAGAATGACAGAAAAGCTAAAATGAGAAAATACAGACCATCAAAAACAACATAATGGAGAAGGGATAAAACAAGGACAAGGCAGAATTTAATATTTATTAAAATAATAAATATTTGATTTTAAAATGCCAAATTGAAACTCCTCCAACCTATAGCAAACATTTAAAAAATATACTTTCAAATTCAATATACCTGTTTTTTAGATTGTAAATCAGCTCGAACTTCTCTTAGAGCTTCTACTCCTTCCAAACCACCCTCACCTAAAGTCAGGGCAGATACCAAAAGTTGGGTAGCATGTAAATAATGCTTTTTATTCAAAAAAGATGTCAATTTTGCAGGCACTTCTCGAAGTTGATCACTGGCAAAAAATTTTCACATGTATCCCAAACTGTTATTGCAGACACAAAAGATAAAAAAGAAATAACAAAAACTGCATATATTTTTAAAAACACCTACATCTCTTCTAGAAGTTGAAGTACATGCTTGTGTTCAACTCCTTCAAGCCATAATTTTTTCAATTCATCCCTCCGGCAATGCAATAGCATTTTACAAGCTTGCAAGTTTTCTTTCACAGCATGAATTTTTTCTCGTGACAGTGTCACTCGGGCAGAGAGTTTTGCAAATAGCTTCACAACAGAACATACAAAAATTAAAACAATAATCAGGTGAAAAAAGTTAAGATAATCAGTAATGGTAGATCATACCTGCATAACTTGAGTGAGGTCTTGATCATGTAACGAAACAAGTTCATCCAAACGTTGATCACTTTTTTTATACTCTCGTTCGAGTTTGGCTTTTTCTCGATCTCTCTGCTCATTGGATTCACTTGCTGATAGTGTTCTAATAACTGACATCAATAACCCGCTCTGTTTCAAAAAGAATATGACAAATTCAATAGATAGGTTCACAAATGTTGGGTCTTAATTAACAAAATATTCAATAAATGTATTCTAACTTATTTGATAACACACAATTTCATTATACAAATGAACGTTTCTGATATCTACGCTGACACTGAACAACAGTCGTCAAATATTATTGTCAGAATGATAAGTTACAAAACAATATACCGTTTCCTTTGGGTGTTTTATACCCCTTGGGGGTTTCGTTGGCGGCGTGCTCATTTTCGCAGTTAAATTACTTTCAGATTTACAAGAACACAAACATTCTACAGAAATGAGCACAACCCATCAACGTGCACCAATAACACCGGGCAAATCTCACGCCCCTTTCAACAGCAGCATCACCAACAAGCACAGACTGCCCGATGGACGCAATCTCTACCACAGATATGTTGCCGAACATGACAACTGTCAAATCACAGTCGTCTTTCTAAACAACAGAACATCGAAATGCGTGACGCGCGGCAAGTGGCTACATCTTGCCGTTCCGTCATGCGTGCTCACTAACGCATTCGGACTAACGCAGGCCGGGGCGAGTTAGATGGTTATGTTGTTGATATTTGAAAATTAGTGAAAAATAAATTGTTTTTTTTAAATTTCTTGAACAAGTTTTGTGAAAACTGTTTCGTATATGGTTTTTGCGTTCTATTGAGTATTTCTTCATTCGAATTTTAGTGAATTTTTATAGCTTATACTAACATGCCAGATAAAGTTCGAGGAACTTTCGTATCGCAAAAGATTAATAAGGTGAGGTGGAAACCTGAAGATTTATCTTATTCCAGTTATTTTGTTACAGGCAGTTGGGATGACCAGGTAAGAGAATATCCAAGTACGTTGTATTTGCTTTTACTGCTGAATGATTTTTTTTGCGGTAAAGGAACAACATACTAATTTGGATTTGCAGGTCAATACACTTATGCTATGGTCCAACCCACGTCCTGATGATGACCCAGATCAACTTACAGTCAAGACTGCATCCTTGAATTTCTCGGGGGATGTGACTGAACTATTGGTAACACATTTTGATATTTTATGAAAAATACATTATTTTTGTGTGCAAGTAATATTATATTTCCATTGTTTTCAGTTCATTGACGACAAAAGGTTTATTGCGTCTTCGTCACATGGATTCGCAAAGTTGTTTGAAATTGAATTCTTAGATCTTGGGAAAGCTCTGTTTAAAGAATTGATAGTCTGGGACAAGTTACACGAGTTTAGGTGATATATTAGCATTGATTTCACAGAGCTGTTTAAACATTGACATATAAACTGAAATAGCTGTATTTCTTACAGCTATGGAAACTGTTGTCCATGTACTGGTTTAGCGTGTTTTGAAGAAGATATTGCTACCATAGGAGAGGATGGCAGAATAGCTCTACTCACTGCCAGACAGAAAAACCCTCTTCGGAAAATAGGTTTGCATTAGGAACTAACAGATTCTTGTATTTTGCTTTAATTGTACAAGTTTCTCCCACAATTTTAAATTCACAGATAAAGCTGACAGTTGTTCATTACACTGTGTGTGTTTCTTGAAGTACAATGAAGTGTTGACTGGAAATATTCGTGGTCATATGAAAGTTTGGGATTTAAAAAGTCAGTCAAATAAACCAGCAACAACATTTATGATGTCAGGTGATCAGGTAAAAGAAAAATAAATTAAGTTGAAATTGTGATATTGCATTAACATTTGATACATTATTTTAAACAAGTTTCTAGATTATACAATTCAGAGAATTGCATTATGTGGTCTGGATTATGGGATGTTTGGTTTAATTTATTGTGAAAATCTTGTGTAGATTGCAGCCAGTTGTGTAACATTTCATCCTACGCAGCGTCACATGCTACTTGTAGGTGGAGATGATGGTTCTTTGACTGTGTGGGATATGAGACACAATACATTTCCTGTTACTGTTCTCAGTGCCCATGCAGAGTCAGGTAATTAATTTATTCTATTCTTAACTTGCTCTTATGTTAACTTAACAATCTTTTACTCTTTGATTGTTCCTCTGCAGTGAGTGAACTGAAATTCCATCCTGATCGTCCAGAACACTTATTCTCATGTTCTGCTGATGGTGATGTGTGGCACTGGAACACATCAACAATGTCGCGAGGCACACGTTTCAGTTCCAGTTCAGGTGTGGTTTGATTCTTTTTTTCATTATATTAACTGTTTCTTTATCGTATTTAAAATTGTATATACTCATAAAACTTAATGAGCAGTGCCATTTCCTTTACATTGTTTTTCTTTTCCAGATATGTCAATAGATGAGAATCCCTGGCTGAGTAGTGATGCTGCCAAGCATCGAATTGAGGTGTTGTCAACTATGCCAAAATTGCACAAACCAGTCAATTCTTTGGATGTGAATCACAGTAGATTGATATGTTCAAGTGACAATGAAGCAGTCTATGTTATTAATGATGTTATCCCATGAGTCTTTTATAATGGATATACTTTTTACATTTATTAAAAAAAACTTCCTCTTTTTTTAATTGGTTCTTTCATTTCATAATTTCCTTTAGCAAGACCTCCCATATTTCTAGCTAGCTGTTAGTTTTATCTTATTAGCTCAACCTATAAAATAGAATGCCCAGGTGACTTGTATTGTAGTAGTCAGACTACTTGCCTTCCACCACAGTCTAGAGTTCCCAGTTGATTCACACAATTTGTGATGGATGATGGCAGCTTTTCTTGTTGTTCACCCGTTTCCCTTGTCACTCCTGTATTTTATAAATTCACATCCGTTCCAGGCTAGGCCAAAAGGCAAAGGAATCAGAATTTAGTTGTTGAAGTGGCATTGAGTTCATGATTTCGATGTACATAATTACAGATATGTAGTTCATTAACTTCATAAAACTGATTTGTCAATGTAACAGCACTGGTTTAAGAAACATTGAAACAATTACTAGTAATTATCGTAACCAGTATTTGTAATATTTATTGCAGTTAAAAAAATAAAAAAAACTTAAAAAGTTTTCCAAAAGTTTCAATAATAATACTGGTTATCACCAAAAACAAAAGAAATTCATCATTGGAAATAGTACTTTCATCTTGCCATGAAATCTAAAATTGTTAATGAACTTGATTACTAATTTCTGCCAGAAAATAAATGTTTATAGTAATATTTTTCCTCTGCTTGGAGCATTCCATGAAAATCTAACTGTTCACTACACAGATGTATTCAAATTTTCCTGAGCAATATTATCATAACCATTTAGATTATTGCAATCAGTGTTTCAATATCTCACTTTAGATGTTTATATTCAAATCTAAGCACTAATGTAGGATTCACATTCTTAAAAAAAATATTGGTCACCTAATTTTTCTCTTGAAAGTATTGTGAAATCTCAAAACAGACATAACTTTATTGGACGTTCTCATCTACTTTTTATTTTTATCATAACACTGGTCAACAGTTGTCTTTAGAATGCAAATTTTTTTCTGTTGCAATGTGAAGGAAAAAGTTAATGAGGGCTTAGGCACTAAAAGGTAAAGTTTATTGAAAAATGTGACTCAAGTTTTGTTTGGAAAAAACTTCAATTTTTGCAAGCAAATAACTTGAAAGCTTTGAGTAAGAAAGTAATGGATAGAGACAATCCCACATGCAATTTTGTCAGCTATCATTTTGAATCGTTAATTTTTCTCTTTGTTGCATTAGTTTCAATTACTATGTCAAAAAATAATTGTACTTGGTAGCTTTTGAGAGAAGGATATATGTTTAAAATACCCCAGAATGAGATATGCAGCTATAGGAGAGCTCTTAGAAAGTCCTTATCTTGTTTTTCACATGATCTTTGGTAGCAAACTAAATATATTGTTACCTTGGCAACCAATAGTGAAAAATGGGATGAGACAAAACAGGATATTTCGGCTTTCTGATGAAGTTGTTTGAGACAACGGGACAGAACTCAGAAAAATGGGAAGATCCTGCATTTTAGGGGACATACACAAATCATACAGTAAGGTTCTGAGGTCAATAATTCAGATGTACTGTATTTAATTCTTTAATTTTATTTTTATTAATGGATTTAGTCATTTCTCCCTCAGAGCGCTCGATGCAAAAACACTTTCTGGCAGCAGCATGGCAACCAGCCAATTTTAATTCAAATAGGGTTGGATCCCCAGTGGAGATCTCATAATTCACAGCATTATCAGTCAATCTTCCTACGATTATTGTACATTGGCAGATGAACATTGGAGTGAAATAACACATTAGGTCATGATCTACCTCAAAAATGATTAAAAAATTGTTGGGCTGCCTTGGAACTATTCACCATCAAACATAGTTCAATTTTCATAGAGATTACTCACTCTAGAACAATTTGTGCAACTTACCTTCATTTTCTTTACTTGAAAAATTCCCACTGGTGTTTTCCAGGAAATATATTTGTAATTTACTCTTTAGAGAGACAGGATATTGTTCAGGTAAAGGGTTTATCAAGGTCCCCCCCCTCAACTTCTGCTTCAAGACACACTGTAAAGGGAAGAAAGGAAAAAATAAAATGAAAGATAAAGGTTAATCTTTTAGCTCTGCTTTCCTAGAGATAGCCCGCTAAATGAATAGCTTACTATTGTGGACCATAGTTTCAGGATGTTGACCTGTCATATTGACTTCTGGAAAGCTACATAGATAATCATTATTTAACTATGAAAGTCCCCAAAACACAGTAATACAATAATTGATGTAAGAAAAGCAGTTACTGGTATATGAAACTAACTTCTGAAAGCACGTAGTTAATCTCTTGAATGACAAAATAGAAAATTCCATTCAAACGAAACGGATCAATATCTCTTGGACAAAAGATGGGCCCCTTTTTAAAACGAGAATGGCAAAATCATTAAATAATTTTAGTTACAATTCCAAATGTAAAAACACCACCTTCCTTCTAAAAAAAATTTCAATAGATGTAAATAATAACTTAAGGGTATCCCTCCCAATATTTTCTTTCAAATATACTTAAAGTCTTGCTCAAATAATTTGCAATAAAACTCACTTAATTTGTGCATTGATGCCTTTAGCCAACCTATTAAGAGCAAATTCTTCAAGGAGAAACTTTTACAGCCTTTGATATTTTATTTGGATCTGAACAATAAAGCAAACTAATACATAGTTACTAGGCCTCTTACAAATTGCAACACCATATTTCTAACTATAATAAACATACAAGTTATGCATAAAACCCACAAAATAATTTTTTTTAAATGCTATTTAGCTACATAACAGAATTCAGAAGAAAATTATGCCTGGCTACTTCAGGTTGAAAGCACTCAATTTATCAACTTTTATTTCTTCCAAAATATTAGAAGATGAAGCGATTCTTACCATGTCCTTACCATTTTTTGTGATTTCTTTCAGCTCGATAAACAGTTTGCCATAACAGAACAGAATTCAGAGAGACAAAAATAGCTAAGAGAAGTTTGACCATGAAAGTCTTTGCTGTCATCTTGATGTGTATTCCTATGTGGTAGAAAAATCATAAATAATATTTACCAAATTGTGTTTGATTGATTTATTTAACTTCATCATCTATACAAGCATACATTATTTTATAAGACACGAATGGGAAAGATGTCTAAAAACAAAGGGGTTGGAACACAATTTCGCATCAATTTTAACATTTGTAGGGGTTTTTTAGTTTTTCATTCTTTCCTGTATTCCTTAATATTTTTCTCAACATCTAAATTATGCACAGCAACTACGAAATCACATTGAAGATAACTAGCATTTCATTAAAAATACACTATTTAATGATACCACTGGTTTCAACAAAATCTTTTCAGTTTATCAATATTTTTAAGGCCACAATTGCCCTACTTGGCATTATTTCTGTACTTTCTAAACATGTTATAGAAAAAAATACTCAGGGTGCAAAATGTCACATCAGTAACTAAAAGATAAGCAGACAGTTTCCAAAATAAACTTCCTTTCATTTACAGAAGTCATGGTACAATTTATTTCACAAAACAATTCTAACATCACACCCATACACAAACACTCTCGCTGTGAGCCCCCTCCCCCCCCCTCCCCATGCAGCAAATCTAAGTAAACATTAGAGATAAACGCAGGAAGACCAAATGCAAAGAAGAACAATGGAAAGTAAACCAATAGAAAGCATTACTAGTTTTTTTACTCACTAATATATCTGAAAATGGATAAGCCAAGCAAGGCAACTCTGCATTTTAAAGATTGGAAACCATCAGCCTATGCATAACATTGTAACAGCACATGCTTTTTTCCTACACTTCTTGGGATGAATAACAGAGCCAAGTAATGAAATATCTAAAAATATTTTAACTCTTGTAATAGATGAAGCTTGAAACTTGCAATATTTTGAACCTAAGTTTCAGGTTCACTCCTATCAACCAAGGCAATCTCCTCTAGACATCAGAACATTACAAACAGAGCCATGACTGTAGTTGGAAGCCTTAAAAACTATAAAAATCCACTTCCTTAACACTAGAAATGTTTTTCTTCAAAAGATTAACAACATAATTCACAACCACAATCTTCACTTTAAGTATAATTCTGAAGTAGGTATATCATGTAAGCTAAAAGTCCACCCTAGGTGCAAGAGACAATTTTTTAAGAATATTAAACTAGGAACAATATTTTTTTTAAGCAATAACTCCTATTGACTAGACATTTTGTTTGGCAGAGCAATGGAATGTACAGACAGTACAGTTTAAATGCACATGCCAAAATACAACTTTGGCACTACACTGCTGATCAATGACTATCATTTCATTTGAACACTTCTATGACACAAAAACAAATGTTTTTCAAAGAGATCAAGAATCATAAGTTTATGGAATAAGATATCACATGTGAAACTGGAGTGATGCCATGATTCACAGCAAAGGTTAATGCATTGTGCGTGAATTCAATTTATGTATGCAATAACATAAACCTACAGAACTCGAATAATTCAGAAATAAGCTAATATACAACATAAGTTAATAGCTAAAAAATGTATGCACAATCCAACACATGTCTCCTCTAACAACAGCATTCAGCAACAAGCACCCTAACTTTGAACTTCTTTTTTAGCAACAAGCACCCTTGCTTTGAACTATTCACCACCTTGCCACATCTTTCTTAAGTTATCCAAAAAAGGCAAATTTACAGCAATAACATTACTGTGAAGGATAAGAAAGCAAATCTAATAAAATAAGTTCAATAAGAAATTTGTTTACAATCAATAACACTCGTTCAATGACTTCTCATAAAAATTGAATTCAAATATAATTTGCACTTAAATTCATTAATTAGGTACAAAATGTTTTGCTGTGGATGGTGCACTATTATATATCCTCATCAGAAAAGTGCAACACAAACATTGGCCTCCCTTGAAAATTCCATTTACCTCAGTGATGCATGAAGTCATTTTCTTGCTCACAAAGTTACTTCCACACTTCAAGTAACAGGTGTAAGGAACACTTATTTCTCAATGCTCTATGCATCAGTAAGATACATGGAAATAAAGAGTTTAAGCAAAGACTAACCATTCCATCCAAGTTGTATATATATCTTTTATCTGTGTAACTTCAAGATTTAAAATATAACATTCTGAACACGTTATTTACAGAACATTACTTTGATACTTTGAGAAAGTCTACTATAAAATATTATATATTTTTCATGCCTAAGAGCACTCACAAAAACACTATTTCCCTATTTCTTAATTTCTCACGTTTTATTCATATTAGAGAAATTAATTATCCATGAAGGGTTAAATTCTTTACAGTGAAAATTTCTTGAAAATTCTTTTAACATTTGCAACAAAAAAAAATATTGTTAACATTCAACAATATTGACAACTGAAATAGCACAATATACACACAAACAATCATTCTCTCCATGTTCAAAGAATGAACATGATTTCAATATAGCATGTTTGATAAATTTTAATAAATTATTTATAACATTTTAATTAAATAAAACAAATTTGTAGAATATTACTCAATATTGAATGTGACCAATCAAAAATAGGAATAGGATAAACTAAGAAGCAAAAAGTAATACATATAGTAATATCTTCCTGTTAAAAAATATAATGCAGTTCAAACAAAAACAATAAATCTTATAAAATGAGATCAAAAACAACTTCTAAATGACTAGACTGAATTACTAGAAAATAGCATAGTGTGAACAAACACCCAACAATGGGTTTAGCAAAACTTCTTTCAGTACCTTTATCAGTTTAACTGTATATGTAACATTTCATTATCAAAAATTATATTTTGATAAAGTGAATCACAATTGATTGTTTTCTTTTCCATAACACTCCAATAAAATTATATCACTACAGATTCAAATTGTGTAACCAAGTTGTATGTATTTAAGAATAATTATTTTCCGGTGAAATTATCCTACTTGAGCTCAATATGATGATCACACAGCATCTCTCTAATTCTGTTGATACAAAGATCGTCAAGGAGATAAAATAGACTGGAATGAGGATACCATGCACATTTTTCTTGCAATTTCTTCAATCTATCCTTGCAATATAGTTCTATTTTAGTTCATTGTTATACAAATTATATGGAATAAATTGAAAAAATACTAAAAATTCAACAATATTGTATCTCTCAAGAACACTAGCTTGAAACTATTGTAACACAAACTGACTAATAAAAATTTTAAATTGTGACAATAAACAAAGAAGACAACATACCAGCATTCAATACTTCATTATTCATTAGATGTTTTGGCTGATATATAAAATTTGAACAAAATATGAAACTATCTTTTTCATACTCATCTTTAACTGATCTTTCTCCTTCATCAGCTTTACCTCATGAACACAATTACAATGAAAAATAAATTAATAAAAAGGAGGTAACCTTAGGACCTCAATATGACATTCAGGAGAGCATTAAAATTTGCCCTGCAAATTTAATTCTCAGATTTTGTAAATCAAATACCTCAAACTGGAAGATATCTTTCCTGCCAATCAGGCAAAAGATACTAGAATTTGTTTAATTGCCTTTAAACAAATTTTGAGGCATCAGTGAATACAAAAGCATTTGCCATGAAAAACATGGACTTCAGATTTCTGATGCATAATACAATTTCCAAGAAAAAGCTAAGCTGGTCTTTTAGCTAACAATAATGGTAAACCAACATGATGTTCTTGTTCATCAGTTTTGGAAACAAGTTGAACGCTGTCATCTGAACCACGAGCATGTAATCGTTGTACTTCAGGTTTCAGAATAGCAAATGGATTAGAACTTTTATCTGTAAACGGAAATGTATAGAAATTATTTCCATGTGATTAATATTTTCTTTTCAGCTTCCTGAAATACACTAGACAATATTAAAATATTCAAAAAGAAATATTCCAAGTCAGTAAGAATTATCCGATTACATGAAAAATACCAAAAAGTATCGTAAATTCGGAATGTACACTTAACTACAGTACACCTCAGATATAACAAAGTAATTTCTCCAATTGGAGCTTACTTACTGTAGGGCAACAAATATGCAGGGTTTGAAATCACATTCAGTAATAAAATCTGCCCCCCCTTCCCTAAACCACTTGGTCATTATTTTAAATTACTAAAAAAATTTTCAATGATCCTCCAAAGGTTAAATATTCACAACAGATTCACAGAAAAAAAAGTTTATAAGATCAGCAAATGAATCAGAACTAGGAAATGAGGCCTGACATTATTACAATTCCATCACCAGCAAGACAAACTTACATGATCAAAATAAATGGGCAATTACAGACATACACAGGCAAACAAAAATTATAATGTCGTTAACTGAAAAATCATTAATTTAACAATTTATTGAACAGAAGCTACTCAACATATTGAAACATTTTTCAATTAAAATTATTTTACTTCAAATCATATTTCTGCTTCAACAGTCTTTCCTTTTGATGCTCTATCGATATTTGTTTTCGACGATCCGTTCGGCAAAATTTTGGGCATTATTTGCAGGATGTCTCATAAGAGTATTCTTCAGTTTCATTTACAACCCTATCCAGATTTAAGTTTACTTCAATTTTTCAAGTTCAGCTATTTTACATGCTCATATTCTAATATGACAAGAACATTTTCAACTGTCGAACAATTAATGTACATAAATACTCACATACCCTCATTATTTTCAATATATTTCAAAACTAGCACACCAAAGAAACTGAATCATGAAAAATAGAACCATTATCCAATCTTCTGCTGGCAAATTTTACTATGTACAACCCCATATTAACTAGTCTAGGAACAGATGATTTTTTTAGGATTAGAACTAAATTCATTATATTGAACATTTCAGCATACTCAAAATCTTACAAGTTTTGAAATAGATAAAATATTTTCTCGAAGTTATAAAACTTTGCAACCTCATTTCAATGAATGCTTACCTCTAACTTCACTGCTGGATCGCTGGTGTGGACGAGGTGACACACCTAAACGTGCTGGCAGTCCCATCTGATTAGCCGCACTTAATGCTTCAGCTGACAACTCTCGCAAACAATCATTCAGGCTTCCTTTAGATTGTGATTGCTTAGGAGAGAGTACCTTCTTTGGTGTTTTCTTGCCACAGTGATGAATACTTTCCTGATTAAGAAAATATCATAAATGACACCTAATAAATGTAATGGGTTACTTCATCAAGCCTCAAGCAAAACACAAAAATTTTAATGAGTTTGATTGTATTTCAAAATTGAAAGTAATTTTATTACTTGCAAAAATGCTAGTGTCTAAACGTTCAGTTGATTTTCTCCAAAATTAATATTTCCCAATCAACCTGGCTGATAATGTGGCCCCTTGAAATTGAAAATGATTTTACTTTTGGGAGGGGTACTTTACATGAAGCCCTTGAGACATTTTAAAAATTTTTAAAAAGTGGCTCCAACGTATTTGATAACACTTTCTTATTGGATAGAGTGAAGGATGTTTAAGAGACTGGCACAGGTCTCCTGTTCATTGAAACCCCCAATTTTTAGAAAACTGAAAAAGTTCAAAATTTGTTTGGCATTTTCCTAAAACTAGAATTATTAAAATAAACATTTTCTTCTTAATAAAATATGTTCATGAAAAACAGATCTAACAATATTGTCATGTTTAATTTTTCGAAAACAAACATACACAATTTTTATTTTCTTTAAATCATTTGTTCTTAAAATTGTATGAAATTTTTTGATGAAATTGGAACCTTAGAAAGCATAAAGGATTTCTAAGAGAATGATGTTGGTCCCTTATTTGTTGAAATAGCTAATTTTAATAAAATTTAAAAATATTAAAATTTTTCAGCCTCTTCCTACAACTGCAATTGTGAAGATACAATTTTTTATTACTGAAATGTGTTTATCAAAACCAGATTTTCAAATAAGGTCAGGTTAAATTTTTTGAAAATACAAATATTTTTTGTGTAATTTGGTGACAAACATAATCGCCTACTCTGAATTTACGCTTTGTGAATGTAATTCGAGGCAGTTGGATTCTTTGTTTGTTAGAATTTATATATTATTTCAAAACTCTTTGATTCTTTTATTCGACCTTTTGTTATTCATTTACCCATTAATCTTTTAGAAATTATTTAAATCCTATTTGAAATATCTAAAATAAAAATTTCTAGCCTTCAGAGAATATCAGTTTGAAACAATGACATTCCGTGCTGTGAATCGGCAACAGAATTTCTGTGAATTATGTCTCATTGTCGAGTTACGAGGTAGCTGTATGAAAAGCAGTTATAATTTTGTTTGTGCCAACATTGGATTGAAAATATTTTGTTTTTTCACCAAATGTTGCAAGATTGGTAATGAGAAAAAATGATGACCGAGATGGGTTAATTCAGGGAGAAATTGTGGTATAAATGGTATTATATAATTATTAAAAGGCAGAAAGTACATGATGTTTTAGTACCCCTAGTTTTACTGGAATTTGAAACGAGGCTGAATTATGAATCACAAAAATGTAAGATGAAACATCATCCAGATAAAAACACATACCTTAAGACAAAATTACAATAACATGGCTTTGTAAGACACACAATCACAAATAATAAGCCCCAATACATTCACGAAAACATAATGATTAAAAATATTAAGTTTAGAATTTCAAATCGAGTATGGCATACTGTATTGTCATTTAGCTATATAGTTTGCTGATTTGTAAATTAAATAGCATGTAGAACACAAAAAGATGAACTTTAAATTCAAAGAAATCCTTTAAAATGTAACTATCTTAAGGATGTTCAAATATATTGGATTTCTAAACAGTTTACATTTACTGTAAAATTTTTATGAATTATTTTATTACACTTACCTGACTTGATTCTTCATCACTTGATTGCAAAGGAAAGCGAAAGACTTTAAAGTTTGGAGATTTTGGCCATGTGACAGGCGGTGGGCTACGAATCATATGCTCATGAATCTCTGGTAACGTAAGCGGATCAACATCCAAATCATGAGGAAACTCCTATAAGAGTTTCATAAAAGTTATTTTCTTGTAAAATTTCCATCCACATCTCAAACAGGAAAAATCTCAAAGCCATTAGTCAAACTACTTCACCTGCGACATTAAATTGGCATCATCCGATTCAGATTCTTCCATGCTGTCCACCAAACTCTCCCGACTAGCTAGCACCTGAAGGAAAGGATTGTCCTGGCGAGACAAGCGCAATGCAGCCATATCTTGATCTATATCTCGTGTTCGACCAGGAGTAAGTGTAAGGGTGGACGCAGCAGGCGATGGGGGACAGCAAGGGGCTTGAACCATTATATCCACAGCTGTAACTGACAAACTGGATGGAACTCTGGGCACCGCTCCATATCCATAGTTTGGAGCAGCTACAATGAAAGGTAGAATGCATTGTTCACTAATTTCTAAAGGGAACAATAAAGAATAGTAAAGAGAACAAATAACTAATTCTTTTGGAATGAAACAATGACTCACATTTAAGGTTTTTATTGTTCTCTGCATTATCAGAGAGTAAGTATCTACAATTAATGAAGGATTCATTGGCATTATGTCATCATTTCACTATGTTTTATTGTGTAAATAAGCTTAAAAGCTTACACATATATGAAGCTTTCATGACTTGATTTGACTTTCAAGATCTATATTGTCAGAAACAAAGCATTAGCCTGAATTGTTAATGAATTGTACCCAGAAATAGTTAACTGCAGTACAGGGAGGATAAGTATTGAAATCATGTCAACAAAACAATCTCATATTTTCCTTCGTAAAATTTGTATTTTGATTTTAGGAAGGCCAGGATTATGTTGTTAATGCTGTACCTAAGATGGTTAAGATTCATGAAGGTGGTGAGAAGATACATGCAATTTTGAACCAAAAGAATCGAGATACCTGTCTGTATGAGTAATGCATAACTCAGTTTAGAAGCTTTTGAGCTGAAACTTAGTCATGCACTTGTTTTTCCTGAGTAATGTTTAAGTAATAACACTAAGAGTTTTAAAATTTTCTGTATGCCATGCATTCCTACTAGATTTTCATTTGCCTAACAGGACAGCCGTTCACGTAACATTTGCTCCATTAATATTACATTGTTACAAATTTTGAATAATAGAAATGTTAATTTTGAAATATTACCAGCTAATCATATACCAACAAGTAGTAACAGTAAGAAAAATATATTCTCACAAAAGTGAGTAATGACAAGATATATTGCATTTATCACTCTTCTGTAATTAGATATTTGTTCTCTACTGAAATCATAAAATGAAAATAAACAATAACTACTCACAACGACATTCAGAACCATGATCCATTGCTTTAAATGTTGGTTCTTCAAAATTCACATCACTTATGTCATCATGGTATTTTTTCTTTTTAAATAAATTTGAAATAAATGTCAATGGGGATTTCTTCAAATATCCATTACGGCTACTGTTGTCAGATGAAATATGAAGCATCACAATCTACAACCAATCAATTTTATATGTTAGCTACAACAAAATGCAATACGGCTTTTTCACTTTCATGTTTATGAGGATAAAACGTAACATCAATATTTGGTTAGTAAAGAATCACACCCTAATCTACCGCAAAACACCATTACATATTTCACCGTAATCCAAGCACTGGTCCAAACACATACTTGTACAAAAATAAATCGTTACTGTACTGTACCCAAAGTTAGTATCGCATGGATTTCTGATCCATTAAACTATTCCCAAATCAAATACGAAATACAACTTCCGAGCAACACCTCAGTCTTCCCATCTCAGCCATGTTTGCTACGTCGACAGTCTTGCCAACAGATTTTCGTACCATACTTCCCCCAGGAAAATCACTAAATAATAGTTTTAAAGAATTGTCATAAGAGGAAACGCGAAACAATCTGTGTTGGGGCGAATTACGGTTTCCGTGACGAAACAGAATGAAGAAACACATTCTCCAAGAAATGTTTTCAGCCTTAAGATTCCCTCAGACCACTTAATAATCGCAAATTAGCGTGAGGCAATCTTTCTTATATTTTTCTAGGAATACATTTTCCCTAGCATTCCACCTTTCACTGAAATTTTCTACCGTATCACCGTAATGTTACGAATAACTAATGGTGTTTAAAATACAGATTTCTCCTTGTTTTGCTTTCTCACTACCGTTTACGCAGTAGAAAGGAAATGTAATGGTGCGGGAAAAATCAATTTCGGAAAACTCAAACCGTTCAACTGATTTTCTCCAACATTGACATCCACCTATCGATCTGGTTGATGTCACGGACCCTAGAAACTGAAACCGAAATTTTAATTCTGGCGGTACTTTACATGAGGCACCTGGGACATTTTCAAGATGTTCAAAAAAATGGCCCCCTACGTTTTTTATTAAATTTGTAACTGGATAGCGTAAAGGAAGTTTAAGAGAATAGTGCAGTTCTCAAATTTGTTGGCAACAATGGTTTTTGAAAATTGCAAAAGTTCCATCTTTTTTGGCGTCTTTCTTCAACTAAAATATTAAAGATAGAATTCTTTCCTCTAACGAAATCTGTTCCTTGAAGATGGATTTTAAAATAAGATCATATACAATTTTTCGAAAATTAGATAATTTTCGCGTAATTTTGCATGAAATATAGGCAATTCTTATTACATGAAACAAATTTTTTCTCAAATACGGCTCCAACAATTCTGATTAAATTTTGACCTCGAACAACGTACAGGATTAAAGAATCACTTATGAGAGTGGTGCAGGTCTAATGTTGAAAAATCTGATTTTTGAAAATTGCAAATATTGACAATTATTTTCAGCGTCTTCCTACTGGATTTATGGAGAAAAACAGTTTTTATTTACTTTCTGAAAAACTCTATTTTCTCAGAAACCGCTCATTTTTTTTCTTTAAATTTTCTCAACGTATGTAATAAGGAACGGTAAGAAATATGGCGATTGTCCAATTTCCAGGTACTGCTGGATTTTTTCGAAAATTGCAAAAGAATTTCAAAACTACAAAATTGAAGAAATTTTTGCATTAGAAAAAGTTTGTTGTAGTAAATTATCTATTTAAATAAATAAATAAATAAATAAATAAATAAATAAATAAATAAATAAATAAATAAATAA